ACGCTCTGGAGAGCTCGTCGCTCGGCAAGAAGCCGCGGTTCAGGTTATCCCACCTGATCCAGTCCGTACTGATGACCAGAACCACCACAGAGGTCAGAGAGATCAACACCGTCCTGACAAACACCAACAGCAGCATTACTCCAGTCTTCAGTGTCACATGATCCTTCAGAAATAAAAATATAATTTTTGAATAAATAAATGCAGCCTTTATGAACATAAGAAACTTATTTAAAAACATGAAAAATCTTACTGATCCCAAACTTTTGAACAGCAGTGTATATTACATTAGTTAAACTAATAATGAATAGTAACAATATTTTAAGATTAGTCATATCAATCTCAGCACTTACAAATTTTTTGCAATTAAGTTTTATTTGTTAACATTAAAATAATGCACTGCGAACAAACATTAACAAACAATGAACAATTCTATTATAATTATATTTTTACTAACGAAAGTTTAATAAATACTTTAGAAAATATATGGCTGATTATTAGTTCATGTTAGCTAATGCATTTACTTTTTAATGTTAACAAATGGTACCATTTTACATTACTGGCCCCCCGACTGAGCCTGGTTTCTCGCAAGGTTTTTTCTCCATTCTGTCACCAATGGAGTTTTGGTTCCTTACTGCTGTCGCCTCTGGCTTGCTTAGTTGGGGACACTTCATTTCCAGCGATATCGTTGACTTGATTGCAAATTATTGCAAAGATACTATTTAAACTGAACTGATGATGACATCACTGAATTCAATGATGAACTGCCTTTAACTGAAAAATGAGTGTTTACTATTGTCACTTTGCATTATTGACACACTATTTTCCTACTTAATGCTGTACAGTTGCTTTGACACAATCTGTATTGTTAAAAGTGCTATATAAATAAAGGTGACTTGACTTGACTTGATATCTATTGTTTTTACACTGAGCTAATTACATTGTCTATACCTCTAATTCTTACAGACACATTGCATTTAACATTTTATGCATTTGGCAGATGTATTTTATTTTTAATCCAGAGCAAATGAAAGGATATTCTAGCCAAGGTATATATTTTCTCAGTATGTGTCTTCCATGCTTTCACGCTTCAAAAAGGGCATAAAAGCAATAAATGAAGTAGTCCATGTGAGTCATGTACTAAAGTCTTCAGAAGCCATACAAAATGTTTCAGTCATTATTCACTGAAAATACTGAGATCAGTCTAAGCTCTCTTTAGCCATTCATGAGAGAAGTGATGTCCTATTTGTGAATGAATCATGCAGTCGGATCTCTTCAGTGAATCAGTTGATCCAGTTCACAAAACAGATACATTTTCTGAATCAGATTCAGTTTTCAGCAGTTCACTGATTATCAGTGATAATACGTTGAATTTGGTTTGTTCCTCACAATGAAGACTTCAGAAGGCTTTCTATGTAGAGTCGTGTGGATGACTTTTATCATATTTTATGCTGCTTTTTTACATCTTTTTATAAAGTTTAAAAAGCTTCGGCTTCTATTTCTTCAGCAGAATAAAGTCGGATCAACATGACAAGCTTCATTTTTGGCTGAACTATTCCTTTAACGAAGACATTATTTAGTTCCGTTACGAAGCAGTTTTTCTCATGGGAACTACAGCAAGCACATTTTGTCCCTAATGTAGGTGTTTTAAGCTTTACTATCATAGTGCTGACATTCCGTCGCATAAAAAGATAGCAAATGCTCACTCATAACAACACTCATACACAAGTATCTAAAAGATGATTCGCTCACACACATCCACACACTCAGGGTGATCAGGCTAAGCAGTCTAAAATGGGTAAATATTGTAATTAGTTTGCACCAATTGTGTTTGTTTGTGTGAACAAGCCTTAAACAATGTGGTAAAATGACCACATGAGTGTGTCTCTTTCATTAAACCAACTACATAAACACAATCCCACTGTCAAGATACAGAGAAAAAATTGTGGCCATTCACAAAACTGAAGACTATAACATCTAACATAGTTTACCTACATGAGAACGCACTGAGACCTTCGAGAACAAACAAAAGTGTTGAATCATTACTGAGCCCTGGATTTAAATTGAAACACAATATTTATAATAAAGAAAATTCTTCTTCAAAACTCATATATCGCCTATTTTACAGTGGCTTTAAGTATGGCTCATCCAATAAGAATGCAGAGTTAGAACTAATGTAAGAAATGTGTATGTAATGAATGTTTATATAAAATGTTTGACCTCTGAAACAGAATTTCAGGGACATTTTTATGAAGGTATTTTTCGTCCATGAAAATCTCATCAATTTAGGACAAAAGCTCTAGTGAATTAATTAAATGAAATTCTGAACAAATCTTTCTGTTAAAAAAAGACAGCCCTATAATAAAATGTCATGAAATATATCAAGTATTATAAAACCAACCTTAAGGAATTCAGTATGGTGGCATTTTTTCCCCACAAACTGTTAAATATCAAGTGCATTTTTTGTCATTTCCAGTACCAGTTTTTTGTACTTTTAATGAATTTTTCACCCTGGCCAGAAGTATTTTTTAGAATAATGGTCATTATAGTAAAGGCTTCATGAATCATACAAATTAAAATAAACTGTGGAAGTATGCTATAGTGCTACTATTAAACTTCTCAGCACATTGTCATTTGGGTCAGGTATTGAAAAGGATTGTATCATACCGCTGTAAATTTTTGACATGGTATACAACGCATGCTGGACCCACTATTACTACTGCATAACCTGTAGGTATGAATGAAACACTGTACATATACATAAAGGGCATCCCAACTTTTGTTCAGCTTTATATTCCATATAGCATACACAGAATACAAGCACAGACATCCCTCCAGTACTTACGTAGGAAGTGTTTCTCCAGTAAGGCAATTTCCAAATGGCCCTTGACCTCATTGAGACGTTCCGATTCACTCCTCAGGTCTTGCATGACAGACAAAGTCCCCAAACCAGCCTAGAAAAAACACACAGGGTTATTGACAGATAAGAACCTAAAACAAACCACACACAAACTATAGTCTCTCCAAGCTGTGACTTACAGAATACCAGTCCTCTCTATGGTGTCTTCCTCCTGTTTTAGTTAGATAAGCCTCAAACTGGAGGCCGGTCTCAATGACAAACATAGACTGTAATATTCTGACTCACTGATAGCACGACATGAACCTGCTCTGACTCCATCCCGCCCCGCACATGCACACGCACACACACAGGCTGAAAGAACGCAAGATCTGCAGAAAGACGAGCCGCAGTGAGAGAGAGACAGAGAAAGTAGGTGAGTGAGAGATTAGGAGAAAGGGCGGCACTGCAGAGAGAGACAGAAAAGCAGAGCTATCTCTTTAAGAAGCCAATGCGACTGACAGTGCAGGCATGCTCTCTTCTCTGACACACACACACACGTTTGGTGTAAAGCTCTGACGGTAAAATGCTTGATTCACGCAATTTGCAGCAGAATTACACCCAAGCTGATGAGACACATACATAAACACATAAGCAACAGTAGGGGAAATAGAAAATGTGATAGCAAATTAGGGATGCACGTGGAAGAGAAATTAAGGCAATGAGAGTGACCCAGAAGAGCACAAAATAGCGAAAAAAGAAGAATTTAAGCAACAAGTAGCTTGATCATGGGCGCTTAGTTCTGGGCTGCGTTTCCCAAAAGCATCGTACAAGTTGATCGTAGCTCCATTGGTTTCAATGGGTCTACAATGTACTTAAGCAGCCCTGGGCTACAGGTTTTTACGAGCCAATCACGTGCGCCATAAATAGCATGTGACCAATCACAGTGGAGCCACAGGAACTCTTAAAACATCATACATAATAGCATAATAATGCTAATTAAACTACGGGGCTGTTGAATGCTTGAATCTGATTGGTTGACGAACATTCTAAGGTGTGCAATTATTTTCAGGGAAACACACAGCTTAAGTAGTTCCAGGCAGGGCTCAACCGCATTACACGTCCATAACACTTCACCAAATGATTTCAGCTATTTCAAAGGTCCTTACAGCTTACAATGGCAAAAGAACCAAAACCCACAACGACAGGAACTGAGCAAATAACAAGAAGTTAAAACTCCAACAAGTTGACTCCAGTCCGTTGAATTATTAGAAAATAATGCTAAATAAATAACGGCTGCATCACCACCTCAAGTGTGCATATTTCCAAATAATTAAATGGACTGTAGTCAATTATTCCTTACTTAATGCATTAACTAATGTTAACTAATGGGATACTTATTGTAAAGTGTTACTCATGAATCAGTATTAATCAGAATACCGCCAAATTCCGAATCATATATCGATATACTGTGCATGTAATCGTAGTCAACAGCTATGTTTCCATCACCCTATTTTAATTCGCATTTTGAAGTATCACATGAGAAATGAGTGATGGAAAAGCCAAATTTCTAATAAAAATCCCTTAATTCGACAAAAAGTTTTTACGCTCGCTTGAGCTGGTTTTTGACTTGTGTGAAAAAGGGTTAATGCAAATAATGGGAGATGGAAATGCATTTTGTGAATAAATTCCTCCAAGCGCATCAAAAAAGTCATGTGACTTTGTGCTATGGGACAGCAAAACATATGGACCGATATCATTCCACAGCATCTGAAATGTTGTTATGGCCATTCGGAAATGCCCGAGCAAAGTCTGTCATCAAAGTATCTCTGTATAATTGCCTACCAGAAATGTCTTACACGACTGCGTTCCCAAACAGCAGCATCCACCTCCGAAAGCAATGACCGCATTCATTGTGTTTCGTCTGCTTGCTCTGAGGCGCAAGTAATTTATTATATATGAAAATTATTATATTCAGTATCTTCTTCTACTTTTATTAGTGATTTATAGTGCCAGATTATCAGGAAGTGACGATTTTGTTCTCTTTGACTCGTTGGATGGAAACGATGTGTTCGCAAATGTTTTATGCGATATTCCAATTTTGCGCATAAGTTAAATTCGCAACTTTGGATGGAAACCCGGCTATTGTGATGATAGTCTCAGCCTCAAATGTCACACCCACAGACTGCTGGCTGAACGTCTGATGCATATCGTACACAAAATTGGAAACACTTTAGGAGTTTAAAAGGCATCATTGGATTATAATAATAATTATAATAATAATTCCTTATATTCATATAGCGCTTTTCTGGGCACTCAAAGTGCTTTACACAGAAGGGGAGAATCTCCTCAACCACCACCAGTGTGCAGCATCCACCTGGATGATGCGACAGCAGCCATAGTGCGCCAGAACGCCCACCACACACTAGCTTATTGGTGGAGAGGAGACAGAGTGATGAAGCCAATCAGCAGATATGGGGATGGTTAAGAGGCCATGATGGTCAGAGGCCAATCGGCGAATTTGGCCAGGATGCTGGGGTTATACCCCAGGACCTTGGTTTAACGTCTCATCCGAAGGACGGTGCTTTTTGACAGTATAGTGTCCCCATCACTATACTGTGGCGTTAGGACCCACACACACCACAGGGTGAGCACCCCCTGCTGGCCTCACTAACACCCCTTCCAACAGCAACCTAGTTTTCCCAAGAGGTCTCCCATCCAGGTACTGACCAAGCTCAACCCTGCTTAGCTTCAGTGGGCAATCAGTCTTGGGCTTGGGCTGGCAATATTATAGATTGTAGATTGGTTGAATTATACAGGATTTCCATGTCGTTTTCTTTAAGGCAGAGGTCCCCAACCACCGGGTCACGACCCACTACCGGGCCGTGGAAGAATTGCTACCGGGTCGCAAGAATGTTCTGGGAAAAATGTGTATAGATAGGCTTATATGACACTATATTATTTATTGCACGGTAATGATTGTTCTAATTATTTTGTATTTTCGTTGTATGCGATTGATATGGAGTAGCAATTTGACGATTTCCTGTTAAATTAGTAAATGAAAGATTGTTCTTAGGGGTTAAATGGAGTGCAGTTGATCCGTGATTCATACAGAACAGACCCCACTGTTCGGCACGCATCTGATTTGCAGGTTAATTTGCTAAACCACAAGAAGACACTAAACGAAACGAAAGATAACTTCATTACTCGCATGCTGTTCTTGCACACACTCGGCGTGCACAAGCATAGAGTCGTGTTTTAGACAGTCATGAATGATTCCTCTTTCACGTCTCCCTGCATTTAAGATACATACACATTAACAACGCCGTTTGCACTGCGCTCTTCCGTTACTTGATCTTTTAATTTTGGTGCGTCAATCTGTTAAGTTACTTAGTATAGGAAATTATGATCCACACTCACGAGTAACAGTCTTCTTTTTTCGCTTTATTTTACATTCATTACTGATGGGAAAAGAAACAAACGTTTCGGACCGAAACGTTAGAGATTATTGATACATACACATAAAATTATATCAAAAAGCCTTCACGGCATTGTCATTCTCTGTGCTTTAATTTTTTTCTTTGTTTCTTGCTTATCCAAAAATCATCTGATCTGTGACTCAAAAACCACAATATGATCCACTGAACCACTGTATAAATATATATATATATATAAACAAACCCCAACCCGTGATGCCGTGACCCCCTCATGAATGTATGACAGACGTTGTGTTTACACCTGTGACGATGACCATTTATTAGGATCAACTAAATGCTGGATTTTCAAAAGTATGTGAAATATTAAAAGTTTGTGGCATAGAAAGAGTTATACACACCGGTCTGTTATTGTGGGGACATTTCCATGCCTCTAAACATGACATGGCACAAAACGAAACGTGATTGGTTGCTTTACCTGTTAGTCATATGGCCACTTGGGCGGGCCTTGGCCATTCAAATATGCCAAGGTTCCCAGACCTTCTGCTGTCAGACTGAAGGTCTGGCTACACGAGACTAATGTGAGTATGCCAACAAAGTGGCATACTTCAGTTTTAAATACAATTTAAAAAGAACGGTAAGTTCTTGATTTCCATCCCAACTATCTACTGTAATCTGCATCTTGCACCTCTGCGACACAAAACAAAGTGTCCTGAAACAGAATATGTCAGAAGGTTTATCAGTAGAGCATGAAAGAGGCAGTTTCCAGCAGAGAGACTGTAAGACAACTGGCTCTTATAAACGAGATAATCAGAGTCAATCAAACCCCTGCTTGTGTGAAAAACTGATCTCATTACCTCCAGCCTTCAGGGACTCATCAGTGCATGAATCTAAAAGTTAAAAGTGCTGCAATGACACAGTCTAAACTACATGGATTTACAAGTGCATGGATATACACTATCGGACAAGAGTTATGTTGGCTCCATGTGTGTCTGTGTTTGTATGTGTGCGCCAGAGCTATTTGGATCAGCATGTGAGCGATGACTCACTCCTCACTGCTGTCTAAACGTCATCTCTGTTAGCAGGCTGTTGCATTCAACACTAAAGCTTGCCCGCGATGCAGGAAATTACCAATGCAAAAACATGCAAACAGAGTGGCAAGACTGGTCAGCTTTTTAGTGTGTGCAGAAAGTTAGGTTACACACTTCCTAAAGCCATCGCAGAAGTATACTGATTTTTAGCTCTTCAAAATATTTTATTTGCCAAAACACAATTATGTAGGAAGGAGCTCAAGGTCTGTGGAAACCATTTTCACATCACCCCACTCATTTAAAAAATCTTAGCCTTATGGACATGACAAAACGTTTTAGGTGCCATACTGTAGGTGCACTTGCAACACAGCAGCAGAAAAATGAGAAAACTAGACTTGACGCTATAGGTGTCTTTACACTGTCATCTTAAGGCTGCTATGTGCCTCCTCAAAATTCAATGTAAAGGTACAATGCTGCATAAACCCATCCATCTCAGCACCTAGTATCAATGTATACAGTTGTAACTGCTGTGTAAATGCATTTATGTGTATTTGTGGAAAGACACCTAAATGCCACATCAGATGTGCTTCTGTGCCACCGTTGTAGAGTAAACCTGACATATATTTAGATGGGGGGAAAAAAGAATATAGTCA